ACCACCACCAAGCCGTCTAGAAGGTGGCAACCTCTAAGAGTAACAAGCACCATCGGCTTGCAACTCGATCACCTAGTGCCACTCGATGCAACCTCATGATACAATCGCACTAGATTCGCTCTCTCACACAACGAATGATCACTATCAAGTATATGTGAGATGGAGGGCTCCCAAGCACTCACAAGCATGGACACAAAGTCCCTCAAGGTGCTCAGCCCCAGCCTTGGCCGAGACCACCTTCTATTTATAGCCCCATAGGCTAAACTAGCCGTTACCCCTTCACTAGGCAAATTTTGGGACTACCAGATGCTCCGGTCAGATCGACCGAACGCACCATGCCAGCGTCCGGTCGCTCTACGCCGTCCACATGTCGCTCTGCGTTCAACCGGAGCCGTCCGGTCTCAACGGTTAAGTTGCGACCGGACGCTGCACAGTGAATGACCGGACGCTGCTGCGCCTGAGTCCAATCGTTTCTAAAGAGCTCCCCAAGCCTCTGTTTAGCGACTGGATGCGTCTAGTCCACCATGACCGGACGCAGACCAGCGTTCGATCAGTTCTGTGCCCACGTGCCTAACTCCAGCGCTGCCTACGTCACCATACGATAGCACTGACCGGACGCAGACCCTGAGCGTCCGGTCACTCTTCGTGCCAGCGTTCGATCATGAGACTGAGACCGCGTGCTTACTACTGCCACTGACCGGACACGCCGGTCCTACCGAGGCCAGCGTTCGATCAGTTCTGCGAAACCCTGTCTTTTCTATACAGGGCATCGGTGGCACCGTCGGACTGTCCACACTCTACGGGCGGACACTCCACCGATGGAGTTTCGAACCTTTCTCGCCTCCGTTCCATCACCGAGTTGATCCACATCAACTCCAACTTCATCTTCTTTGTAAATGTGCCAACACCACCAAGTGTACACCACCATGTGTATGCGTGTTAGCATTTTCACAATCATTTCCCAAAGGATTAGGCACTCAACTTGCCACACCACTCGATCCTAGCGACGATGTAAAGTTAGATCACTCGAGTGGCACTAGATGACCGATATGCAAACAACCTTGCCCCTCTTAATAGTACGGCCATCTATCCTAAACCCGGTCATCAACTTCTCTACACACCTATGACCGGTGAAATAAAATACCCTAGGTTATACCTTTGCCTTGCGCATTCAATTCCATCTCCTCCAATGTTGATGCAACCCATGCACCAACACGATCAACAATGATATGACCCACTTCATATCATCACGTGATCATATTGGTTCATCGATCTTGACTTCACTTGCTTTTCACCGTTGCCTTCGTCCATCGGCGCCAAGTCTTGCTTAAGCTTCACCGCCACGCGGTCCATCGCTCCAAAGCCTCCAACTTGCCCTTCACGCTTGCAACCGGTCCATCAAGCCAAGTCATGTCTTGATCTTCTCCACCTTGATCACATGACTCAATGTCATGTCTCATTTGCAATGAGCTCCTTCATCATCACATGTGTGAGCTTTGCAACATCTCCAAGCCATTTTCACCTTCATGGCATATGTTGCTCACACACATGTACATATGGACTAATCACCTGTGTATCTCACATAAACACAATTAATCCACTTAGGTTGTCACTCAATTACCAAAACCACACAAGGACCTTTTAGGCACCGGATGCAGCCTCAGAAGCCGCAGATTCAACTCATAACCGGTGGCGGAGCCAGGGGACCCGTGGCCCCCTTACAACACAACATATTTTTACACAATATTTATGTTAAGAAATATATAATAAAGATTCTAACATATTAATCTCTTATAGGCTATGTGATATTTTAATTAACTAGTTAATTATGTTATTTGTACTTTGATTTATTGTCTCTTCCATATTAATCTCCTATAGCCTCTTATATAATTAAAAAGTAGGCTTTCTACTATCTTTCTCATCTCTTTTGCTCCCACAATGGCGCTCTAATTAGCTAGTTAAATATAGTTAATACTTTCTAGTTTACTCTCCTTCTAAATTGATCTCAGTTAAGACCTATATTCTTTAGGATTAGTCTTCTTGTTATTACGATGATTCTTTTCTCTAGCCCGAGAATTCGATTGATCGTCATATGAGCGTTAGAGACCTACCCAATTTTGTTCCTTTTTTCTCAAAAATATTTTGTGTTTTTTTCTAGTTTTAAATTTTCTTTTGTAACACAAAATATTTATTTGGTTGTTATATATACATTGACTGTATATGTATTTCATCATGTGTGATTGCTATCGGTTTGAAGGACCCTATTGCCTCACAGGGCCACGGGCCTGGCCTTCGGCCCAGGCACGACCCTATGGGCCGATTTCCGTGCCGGGCCGGCCCGAGAAGCATGGCCATTTTCCACAGGCCATGCCAGCCCGAGGCCCACTGAGGCCAGCCACCGCGTGGGGCCTTGGGGGAGGAGGGCGGCTGCCGGCGTGCTCGAGGCCGGTGCGTGCGCTGCGGCCGCGCGGGGAGGCGAGGAGGAGGTGGCTGCGGGGCTGGGAGCGGCGGAGCTTCGGATCTCGGGGGCATGAGCTGCGTAGGCAGCGCCCTCCCTCAAGCGATGGAGAGGAGATGAAGAGGGGGTGAGCGAGATGGAGAGGAGAGAATCAGAGAAAACAAGGAAGGGAGTGAGTCGCCGGATCTGCCCACCCGCGCGCTCCTACTCGCGCGCCGGATCTGAGCGGAGGAGGCACGGCAAGGGAGAGGGTGGGAGGGAGCCCGCCGTGCACCGAGGATGAGGAAGAGACGGAGGCCACCGGATCTGAGCTGAGGGAGGGAGGGAGAGGAGAGAGAGAGAGAGAGGGGGGGATCCGCACTAGGAGGGAGAGATGGAGGATGGGGGAGGCAGGGAGGGCGCCGCCGTGCACCGAGGATGAGGGATCTCGCCGGCCGCTTGCAGGAGAGCATCATCGCTGTAGGGGAGCGCCGGATCTCGCTGCCTCCTCGCTAGAGCGCCGCTGCAGGGGCCGCGCGAGCTCCACCGTGGAGCGCCGCTGCAGGGGCCACGCGAGAGGGGCTGCCGTCGGGAGGGAGGGAGAGCGCCAGAGGGGTGCCGTTGTTGCGTCGGGAGAGAGAGGGGAAGGGAGTTAGGGTTTTGCCGAATCGCCGGTTCGGGGCTGCGCAGGGAGGGGGAGGGGAGGGGAATCGAGGGTGGGAGTGGGAAACTGGGAGCGTGGGTAAGGATGGCAACGGGTCGGGTTTGGATCGGGTGGAGTCTCCGTGCACCCAAAACCGAAACCCGAAATCCAAACCCGAATCCGCCCCGAAAACCGATTCGGGTGGAAATCCATCACCAAAACCAAACCAGCGGATACCCGAAACCTGCGGATATATATACACATATTCACATGTATAAACAAGAGGCAACAAATAATAAATATTTTCATGAGTCAACTTTAAATAAATTTAATAATCTAAGTAAACAAATTATTATTAGTATATTATAAAACATGAGTTTTAATTCCAAATGATTTATTTCGGATATCCATTGGATATCAACGGGTGGAAAACCAAACCCGAAACCGAACCCGATTGGTTTCGGGGCCCCGAACCTAAAAACCGTGGGTGAAAAACTATCCCTAAACCCGAACCCGCAGAACCCTAAACCCGCGGATATCCGCCCCAAACCCGATCCGTTGCCATCCTTAAGCGTGGGGCTCGTGGAGTCGCGGGGGAGGACCGGAGGAGGCCGCGAGCCTGCGACCTGCGGCAGACGAGCAGGCCAGGCCGCTAGCGGGCCGCTCTGTTCTGTAGCGGGCCGTGCCGTGCCAGCCCACGTGCCTGGGGTAAGGGCCAGGCACGGCCTTCTCCTCCGTGCCGGGCCAGTCCGGGCCCGCTAGCCGCCGGGCCGGGCCGTGCTTGGGCCGGGCAAAAAAAAAACAGGCCTTGGGCCGGGCCGACGGGCTCGGGCTACATGGCCAACTATGCTCGTGACCAACCATCCGGGTCAAGAGAGGGGCGGAGGAAGGTGTTATGGAGGCTGATCATGGACGGTCGCTACCACTTGTCGCCAAAGCGGCGGCGCCGGCCAGGGGCTGGCCTGCGCTAGGGGCCCTTCGGCAGCCATGGCGTGTCGCCCCCGGTTTAGGATTAAGGTTCACCATTACTAACCACTGTTTGAGTTCATTTTAGGAGAGTTGAATTCATTCAAGGACCCCCAAGGGTTGATGTAGCATGTGTACGTAATTGGGAGTGTCGTGTAAATATGGAATACGTAGAGTATATGTATTGAACAGGACAAGGGGTCAACAAGCATGCAAACGCGATGCAGGGAATCATCGCGTTACATGTGACACATTCCCTGCACACCAGAAAGCAATCATCCTTGAAAAGGCCTGTCAACCAATAGGGCCCACCTTTGATTACCCTGCCTGCGCCGGGGTGTGGGTCCCGCCCCGCCTCAAAGCACCCGGCCCCACTCCTCACCAATTAAGCAATTACTACTCGTACTAGTACATTTAAACCTCAGCTTCACTGCCCTACCACCGACCAGCTCGTTCGAATAGTACTGAGAATAAGTTGAAATAAACTGAAACATCTGCAGAGCACTTTAAAAAAAAAATTATGAGAGAGAATAAACTGATATGAGAGAAAATAAACTGAAATAAACTAAAACATCTGCAGAGCTTCTTAAAAAAATTTTAAATTTTTTTATGAAAAAGAATAAGCTGAAACATCTGCAGGGCTCCTTAAAAATTTACTCACCAACCGTACCCGAGCTCAAAATTCGCCCGAATTTGGAATTTCTTTCCTACCACGAGTTCATAACAGGAAAGTAAACTAGTACTAGCAACAGGAGGAAAAACATTACTACTAGAATACCACCATCATCTGATTACATGATGAGCCGAGGAGTAAAAAAAAAATCTGGTCAAGAAGAGCTTTGACCACCTAATTTGACAGTACTCGTCCCATCCACACGACAGGACGAGGCTTTCCGATCACGAGAGCCGCTCTCTACCTACAGCTCGACGACACCGGCGCAGCGGCGCGTGACATCACATGACGCTGCACGAGTTGGCGTTGTCCTCGTTGAACATGTTGTACGACTCCTGCGGCGGGGATGACCGCATGCCCGGCGGGCCGTACAGGAACTCCGCCGGCACCGGCACCATTGGCGGGTAAGGAGGGTACCCATAGGGCACCACCTGCGGCGGCGGCGGCATTGGGTGCATGGGCACCACGGGCGTGGGCGCGTAGTACGACACGCTGGAGCTCGGGTGCGCCACGTTGTAGCTCAGCACCGGCTGCGCCGCGTAGTACGGGAACGCGGCGTGCGGCGGGCGCTCGGGGCCCGGCGACGGCGCTGGCACCGGTGGTTGGTGTGGCTTTTTTTCGGGCGCTGCCGGGGCCGGGGCTTCCCCCTCGTCGCCGTCCTTTGGCTTGCTCTTCTTATTCTTCTTGCCCTTCTTGCCGCCGCCGCCGTTGGACTCCTCCGCGCCCGCCTCCTCGGCGGCGTCTTGCTTCGCCGGCTCAGGGTAGCACTTGTTCGTCTCCTTGGGCTCGGTTATCACCTCGGCGTCCTTATTGACCTCGTCCTTATTGGGTTTCGCCGCAGCCTCGCCTTTGCCGGCCTTCTTGTCAGAGCCCTTGTCCTTGGGCGGCTTCTTCTCCTTGCCCTCGCCATTCTCAGGGGGCTTATCCTTCGCCGCCGCCTCCGCCTCCTTGGGCTTTGCGTCCTTTGCGCCGCTCTCCCCAGCTGCCACTGGCAGCGCAGCAGGCGCGGCCTCCTCGGCCTTCTTGGCCTCGACGGGTGCCGGCGCCGGCGCCGGCGAAGGCCAGAGCGCCGCCTGCTTGCCGGCCTTGTGCAGCCGCCGGAGGAGCGCTTCAGCTTCCACGTTGCCTGTGACGGTCACCTTGTGCTGCGCCGCGTCCACCGTCACCTTGTACACGCCTGATGGCGCGCCGCCGCAGACAAACAACCCGGTCAGAGTCAGACAGTCCGTCGTCGGCACTGTAAAACGAAGAATCGCCGCCGGCAGGAGAACAAGACACAAGGGATACATACGTACCTTCGATGCTGTGGAGCACTTTCTTGACCTTCTTCTTACAGCCCTCGCAGTGGATGGACACCCGCAGTGTGGTGGTCTGCCGGCAAGAACAGTGGAAGGTTAAGCGATAGGCAAATACAAGCTGAAGAAGCTATCGCTGTCCCGCTCGCTCACCGTGTACTGCAGCGGCTCTGCTTCCCCTGACGCCATGGCGAGCGAGCTAGAGTAGCCTGGAGCTTCGGTGGAGCTCGTCGCGTGGACGATCGGAGCTGAGCTGAGCGGAGAGCTGCTGAACCCTCCTCCTGTGGCTGGCTCTGTCTCTGTTGCGGGGGTGGTGGCAAAAGGGGGAGTGGCTAACCTTTATAATGGCCAACAAACCAGCGTACTACTAGGCGTAGCCACCGTGTACTAGCAGGAGGAGTAAAGTAAAAGGTGAGACCGACTGGTGGGCTCGGTGGTCGCTGCGCGTCCTGGCTAAGCTCGTACCGTCGTACAGCCTGTTCGCTTATTGGTTCCAGCCAGCTCAAATCAGTTAGCCAACAGTATTTTATTCTCACAAAAAATCAGCATCAGCTAATCCAAATCAACACCAGCATCCACCAGCGAACACGATAGTAAATTTTTAATTAAAATAATATTTTTTTCTCTCATTAAATATATCAGCAGTAATAATTAACTCACGAAGCAGCCAGCCATCCCAACAGGCTGCAGGTCGCGGGGCGTGGCAGGGGCCTCCGGCTCCGGGTGCGAATCTCGTCTCGTCCGGGGGGATGGTGACACCAGACCCACATTCGGTCACATCATTGGAGTTGGAGGAGGGAGGCCGCTGATGGTGATGTATCATGGTGGCCCCTGATTAGCAGTTGTTGCCTCCATCCAGATGGCTGATAACACACACAAAATCGTGAGCTTTTGCAGGATCGTGCATGTGATCCTGATAAGATTTTATTTTCTCCATCTTTCTCTCGTCTCTCCTGTGCAGAGATCACGGGTCCGTTCGCTTAACTATTTTTCAGTCACTTATACAATATTATTGAATCAGCTGAATCAGGCAGCTTAGGTACCAGCCGAACAGTCAGTGCACAGTGGCAGTGCCAACGTGTCGCCGATCGGAGAGCCAGCGTGTGACCGGTCGATGTCCATCGATCCGTAGGTGCGGTGCGGTGCAGGTTGGTTGAGGAGCTCGACAGGCCATTAGAGGCAGCACCAACGCTGCAGCTGCAGCATTCACTCAAAAAACCGCCTCCTTTTCCTTTTCAGTGCTGGTTTAGTTCAAAAGGTTTTCCAAAAAGTTTACAGTAGCCATCATATCGAATCTTGCGATAAGTGCATGGAGCATTAAATATAGATAAAAAAAAACTAATTGCACAGTTTGGTTGAAAAATTACGAGACGAACGTTTTAAACCTAATTAGTCCATAATTAAACACTAATTATCAAATAAAAACGAAAATGCTACGGTAGCTAAATTCCCAAAATTCGTGAACTAAACGCGCACTCAACCACCCATCTCTCCTTTGGCCTGGCGTCGTTTTCACCGCGCGCTGCGCTCGCGTGGTGGTGCAGGAGGCAGGAGGCCTGTGGGCGCCAGTGGCCTGGCCTGGTCTTAATCTGATGAATGAAAGGTGCCAATTCTCCGAGTAGTAGAACAGGAGGAGGAGAGGTAGAGCCAGGAGCGTGCGTGCACCGGCGAAAACGTTGTTGCATCGTCCGGGACCTGGAAGCAGTGGCGGATCCAGGGGGGGCTCCAGCCCCCTAATGTTTTGATTTTAAGCCTAATCACTGTAGCAAAAACTTGATTTTACCATTAAATCTTCATACAAATCAACACTCCATTGTTTTAGCCCCTCTTATCCCGCATCGTGCATCCGCCACTGCCTGGAAGAGAAGAGAAGAGCAACCAACAGGCTAGCTTCTGCTGCAGGTCAACTCGCTTACTACAACTACGTGCTGAAATGTCGACACGTAGGAGTACGTAGTACGATGCTCCGTAGCAAGGACGGGATGAGTACAGGCGTGCATGGGCCACGACGATGCAGGCAGCAGCAGAGTGAGAGCGCGGGGAACGGGAATCGTTCTGATCGTCTTGCATGGGGAGCACGCGCATTTATCGCGGATCCGGCAATAAACGTCCGTAGATTGTTCGTGGGCACGATGCTGCACGAAACTTTGGATCGGCATGCTGCTGCGGTCTCGCGCGCGGGACGGACGGTAGAATGGTACTCGCTCCGTTCCAAATGGTTGGTTTAGACTTTTTTTTTACCCCAAATTTGATCATTCGTTTTATTTAAAAAAATTTTTTACCAACGTAGTAAAATTTAAGTCATTTTTGAAGAACTTTTGTTAATAAAGCAAGCTACGATAAAAAAAGTGATATTTTACACAAATTTTTGAATAAAACGAGTATCGAAACTTGAGGTAAAAAAAAAAATCAAACGAACTGTAATTTAAAATGGATTTAGTAGAAAGTTTCTACCTACTCCGTTCGTGCTAGCTGCATGCATTCCGCGTCGACAACAGACGAATGTACCGCGTGCTCATTATTCACACTACGCGGTGAAACCGTGAAAACATGTAACGAGTACTCGAACGCTGCGTGGCAGCCTTGGCAGGGTCGGTGCACGTAGCTGTAGCCTGTAGCCGTGCCCGGGCACCGGACGCCTGCGTCGCTCGAATAGACGTCGTGCCTTGGTGTAATTTTATTTTATCACAGTGCTCACTAGTCTGTCACGTTATTTTTTTTGGGTGTTTACAGTACCTGAACAGTCGTTTTTCACCGGTTTGTCTCGCGCGCAGTAGCAAAAACCCCGACCTCGACCACTGTTGAACTTTCTGAGAGGTAATAAAAGGTAATAATAGGCAGCAGTGTGGTCACTGCTAGTTGGACGTCCTACGACCGGGCCACTGTGGTCATTGATGGGGAACAATTTCCTCCGGCTCACCACTGGTATAAGTCCATCTTTTATCCTAAATCAATTTCATATATATGTTGGCTATCGATTTGCAAGAAAATGTATATATTCAGTTATTCACAACTCAAGTTCAATATAATTAGGTTCGTTGTGAAAGCTACTTTCATATACAATGTATAACTAACTTCTTTTTTAATGATATTTATTCCTATATAGCTATACTAGGAGTATATATATATATATAGGAGTAATTTTTAGCCTCTTCACCAAACAAATTGAACGTAGCAGCTCGGTTGGTTAGTTTCTTTGGTGAATGCTCGCCATCTGGATTCACGTCTAGAGTCTAGACATAGGCCGATGAAGTTGATTTCTAGACACATATTTTGTCTCGAAATAATTTACGTTTTTGCCGTCCACTTAGATTAATCCAAATAGTTCTCGATAAACCGAGCGTACCGTGATCTAAGGCACTAATTAGATGTCCTGCATTTTGAAAAATTTTGCTAGTCAAAACACAATAACTTAGGATCTAATCTAACAATTAGATATCTCTCTTTTTTTAATCACTGCAAGAATAAGATCCAAACAAGACCTAATAAAGCAATTAAAGACCAAATGGTTTGCTTACCGTGGGTATTAAATGACTGTCATACGCGACTATTTACTGACTTGACATGAAAGATGAAAAAGGTAGAAAAACAGTATAACTTGGGATCCATATCTAAGACTAGAAAAACCATGCATATGCATACAATGATTAATTGACATCAAATTCCTGGGAAATAACACATCCCATTGAATTCCTATGGGGGATCGATCATCCACTACCTCTTTTTAAACCCTACTAGGCCCTTTAGCAACATCCCCATTTGTGTTTGCGTCTTCCCCATAATTCCGTCAATCCTCAAGTCCGCAGCAACAATTAAGCGTGCAACAACATTTAATTTACTCCTGATACACCAAATGACACCACTACTCAACCGACTAGTAATTAAGATCTAACTGTTTAATAAAGGACAACGAGTCATTTCGCCACTAGTGTTGATGTTCTACTCACAACGTGGCGAGTGCTCTTTTGATGCGCGTCGGCAGATGAAGTAGAAATTCAAGCTTGTGTTGAAGCTATTCATAACCGGATCAAACCCAGTTAGGATTGTTGGGGCAATGCAAGATAATCACATGGACAAGTCGAAACTTCGTTTTGCCTAGCTGGAGGCGAAACAATTGTTGGTGGCTTGGAGGGTCATCAAGGTGAAGAGAAATTGCAACAAAGTGGCCCATGAGTCGGCTCATTTAGATATAACACTCACGCTGCTGTGTGGCTAAGGCAAGCGCTTGTGTACATACATGCCCCTCTTGAACTATGATTGTAATTTATCTGTCTAGTTAATAAAGCTATCTTTACCTTGGAAAAGAAAATAAGCCTTTTCTCATGTTTACTAGTATAACATAAGTTAGAAATTAGTTTAATCAATGGTGGAGGGAGTATTTGTTGAATGGCATCGTATATTATGCTACGATAGCAGCGCACTTAGAATAACTTTAGTTAAGGGCATCTAGCTAGTCCTCCTACCACTAAGATTTGCTACATTGCCAGCTCTAGTACTGTATTTTGAACAAAGGGTTAATTTATTACTACAAAACAAATGGACCTATATATACAACCGCAACTCCGCAAGCCGAAGGTTGGAGAGAATCACTTCCTAGGGCAAACTGAGTGGAGAGAGGGGTAGGAGACCTACGTGCTCCTTTTCTTTTTAGACACCTAGGAGTACTAATAATAGTAGTAAGAACAAATCTTAGTCCTGCCTGATGAGCTCTGTCAGTCTTAACACAGGGTGCCGTACGTGTGCAGCTGTCCTCCGATGGCCCGTTCGCTCGGAGGAATTTAGAGGAATCTGGATGAATCTGAAAGAATTTATGAGAGAAAATCAACGTAAACAGTAAGATTCAGTCGTGAACACTACTCCCTCGGTACTAGCTGAACGAGGCCATTGGCTGTTGGGTACAGCTCAGTTTCACCGGTGAATTAATCTTTATTAGCTTTAGTTTTAGAAATAGCTTTACATGTAGAGCTAAAGCTGTTTTGACAGAGAGTTCGGTAAAACAGCTTTACTTTGTAGTTGAGAATAACAAAATGACCAAAATACTCTCTCTTTTCTTTTTCTTTTTTTTCTTCTCCTTTATTTCTTTATTTGTTCTTCTTTTCTCTTTCCTTGGTCGTTATCCACTCGCACGAACTGACGCACCGTTCATGTGCGGCGACGGCGGAAGTCAGAGCCTCTGAGGCAACCGTTCG